TTGGTCAAAATTACGCATTGTTGGAAAAAGTGCCCCGGTTAGACCTAACAACCTAACTTTGACAAAAATTACGAACTTTGCGATTTTGACGAAATAAGACCGGAAAAATGATTTTCTAACATAAACTCGTCGTGGTTGGTCAAAATTACGCATTGTTGGAAAAAGTGCCCCGGTTAGGCCTAACAACCTAACTTTGACAAAAATTACGAACTTTGCGATTTTGACGAAATAAGACCGGAAAAGTGATTTTCTAACATAAACTCGTCGTGTTAAGTCAAAATTACACATTGTTGGAAAAAATGCACCTGTTAGGTCTAACCTACCTAACTTCGGCAAAAAATTTTAATTTCAGCAAAAATGAACCAGGGCGTTTATTTGTGACCAAATAAACGTCTCAAGTCAAAATTTTTTGAGAAAATGCAATTGTGGAAAAAATTTTTAGTTTTTGACAAAATGGCACCAGAACGTTTATTTGTGACCAAATAAACGTCTCGAGTCAAAATCTATCAGTTTTAGAAAATCTTATTTTTGTGTAGGTTGTGCGCATGCGTAAGAGCGGAGTAGGGATGGCGCGGCGACTTGGCTGAGCTGAGCGCGCCGCGAGTCAGTTGGATCCGAACGCTCACAAAGTGAACAGCGTAATAAAAATCGAGTCCGCTCAGAGATGCACACGAACGTCCCAAAACAAGTCGGTCGTTATTAAAGCGTGTCGCACTTATAAGTGTTAAAAGCAAAAGTTGGAATCGAGCGCTCACAACGGAAACAGCGCAGCAAAAATCGAGTCCGCTCAGTAACGCACACGGACGACCTAATTAGAAATCGGTTGTTGCAAAAGCGTGTCGCGCTAAGTTTAGTCATCAGCATACTATGCGTATTCGAGATCGCGATACCGGTTCCGGTTGTTAATAACGCGTTCTCTGCGTACTCATGTAACACGAAAAAATTGTATCACAGCAAGTGTTAATAAACATTTATAAACTATTCAAACATTTAACATAGTGTGTGTGATTGTTTCCACCACATCATTTGAAAGGACAAAGACTGTATCAGAGACCTGTGATCCGCATCCATCGTGCAGAATCCGTAAGCTGAGGAGATCCAAAGACGAGGGTGACAAAGTCGGATCTAGTTTGTCTGGTGAGTCCGTTCCTAAAACAGACTAAAAAGTCATTTCCTTCCTACTTGGTCGGTTAAAGTAGGTGGCGACCGAAAGTCAGTACACGAAACACAGTCCCGTCCGGTCACAACCTAACGTTCTCATTATTGAATAAGTCGAATTGGAAAATCATCCTCGAAACAAAACAATGTAACTTCCTAAACTTATAAATACAACTATTATTAAACTTAAATAATTTAAATAATATAAATTACTATAAATAAGTAATATTAGTAATACTATCCACAATATTAATATAATAAATATAAATATTATTAAAAAATTTAAATAATATAAGTAATACTCAGATTTGACANCTACAAACAACTTTTTTCTCAAAAGCTTTAAACCACCACAAAACGGTTGTAGGAATCCTCCGTAACTAACTTTATTAAGACCTTTCCGATCTTGAATATATGCTAAAATTTTACGCTCCAAAAGTGTAAAGAAGGCAATAAATAAAATTACATAAATAATTATCACAAAAATTGATACTACATTACAAAAAAAACGAACTCATAGATAAAATTAGTATTTATATACAAAATGTATACATAATTAAATTCTAAATTTAATGCACTAACTCTGCCAAAATAATTTATTTAAACACAAACAAAATTAA